AAAAAAAAAAAAAAAAAAAAAGGTTTAACCAGATGTGTGTTAAAGACGTTGAAGCTGAAATCGTGTCTGATGCTTCGCTATTACTGGGTCATGGTTATGAGTGTACTGTTTAGCATCTGAACAGATCTGCCCCTTGTTTTAAAAACTGGATGAAGATCTCTTCCTGGAAGTCAACTGGTCTTCTCTTTAATTTAAAAAGTAAAATCACAGTATAGGTGGGGAAATACCCAGTATGTTTAATTTCACTTAAGCCAATACCCTTAGACATAGATTACATATGTATTAATGAACATTGTTTATAATTATTTATAATGAAACATTCCCTTATTAGTGAACATAAAAAGGTACAATTTATAAAAAAAAAAAACTTTACTCAGTTATACAGGAATTAGAAGTGCATATGTTTAAAAAAAAATGGTTTAAATGTCAAACTTCGCCCCGGGAAGATGCAGTGTGGTCTCTAATTACGGTGGCCACCAGTGGTCATGCTATCCACAACCACTTCCCTGTCTGTCAGTCTCTCCAACACACCTTGTCTTCTCTCTCACAGAAGGTACCCTGTACTCTCAGGTAGTCGTCATCTTGGGCACAACCTGACCTGGCTTAATCCAAGCTCTCATCATTTTTTATTTTGAAAGAGCCAATCAAGGCATTTCTAGCCAATGGTCCTCAAGGACCAGCTTTTCTGGCTAATAAAATATACAGAGATGTCTCCCCAAGTACTTCGTGTGTGACAGCTGGGATCCTAGAGGCCATCTCTGCTGGCTGAGATGGGGTATAGCGTGCCTTCCCCAGGACTGCCTAGGTGGGTGAGTTTCCTAACAGTTCGGCTCTATCAGGATTCAGTGATTATGGCTCTAACCGAGGCACCCTAACCCCAACACACGACCCAGTTTGCCATTCCTTATCTCTGTGAAGCCGCCCAATCCAGTTTCCATGGTAGAGGTCCAGACAACACAGCTGTGACTATATTGGTGCATTAAAGAACAGGGTGGCAACAGGAGCCCTCAGAGTGGCCTGTTCCCATTAACAGCTGCATGAGCATTCCCAAGAGACCCCCCCATCAGACATGCGGATCATAACTAGCGGTCAAACCATTCAAAAGCAGGCTGGAGAGATGGCTGGGCACTTTACAGTGCTCACGGGTCTTGCGGGGGCCTGGAGTTCCGTTCCCAGCACCCACATTGGGTGACTCACAGCGCCTGTAACTCCAGCCCCAGGGGATCCAGTGCCTTCTTCTAGCCTCTGCAGGCATCGTACTCCTGTGCACACACCCCCCATACACATATGATTAAAAATTAAAGTCTTAAATAAACACACCCCAAAACACATTGTTTTGCTTTAATACTTGTTTATTTAGCACTTGCTGAGCACAAGGCAGTGTGCATTTGGTGCCACTAAGATGCAGAAGAATGTGTCATTCTTGCCATTAATATCACGATAACACAGAAAAAAACCATCACACAGGCAGAAGCGATTAATGCCACGAGATGAATATCAATATTTGAGAACGCCGAAGAAGATACCAGCTCTGGATGAGGATGGGATCAGAGGTGCTGCTTCCACAATGGGGCATTTTAAATGATAGATCAAATCCAGGTTTGGAGAAACGAAGAGGAAGATGAAAATTGGGAGGGAGGGAGGGAGGACCAGAGGGCCGGCCACCGCTGGGTGACCGCAAGCAGGCTGTAAAGGAGGTGGGAAAACACCGCAGGGTGCTGGCATCAGATGAAGAGGTTGTACCAGGCAGAGATGGCCCAGGCACAGTCTACTGGACAAGCTGGTGTTTTGATCCAACTCCTGCTTTATCGAGTTTAATCTGGAGGCAGTGGACCAGTCACAGAGGAGGCAAGCTTCCAGACCAGACCAGCGGTCGTAACGGGGAGAATGAGGCAGGCAGAAGTGGAAGGGGGAGACAGAACTGAGACTTGGCAATGATTAAATATGTATTTTTAAAATGGGAATGTATAAGGTGGGGAGACTCAAAAGCCACAAACGAATGAGCAATCACTGAAATGTCCCCAGGTCACCACAGAAGAGTGGCCTAAAGTACAACCCCATCATGATCCTCCTCAAATATGAATACTCAGGGAAAATCCCCAAGAGGGAATTATATGGACAACACGCAAAAGCTGTTTTCACAAATATCACCCTCGCTCCTAGGAAACTGGGGATAGCCATTCCCTAAGATTCGCTCTGATGGAGTGGTAAAAGGTTTTGCTATTATTCCTTTTCCAGAGTTTTCTGTAAGATTACAGTGGGGATTTCAGAGAAGCTACTGATGGTCCCCACCTTATCAAATCTAAGCATGGGAGACCTGACCCCCACTTATCACATCTAAGCATGGGAGACCTGACCCCCCCCCTTAGCACATCTAAGCATGGGAGACCTGGCCCCACCTAATCACATCTAAGCATGGGAGACCTGACCCCCGCCCCCTTAGCACATCTAAGCATGGGAGACCTGTCGGAGCATCCCATCTCTTTCCTTCCACAGATGACAGGCCATGGGACTGGCCCGTACCTTCCACAGGAGGCAGTTCATAGGACCCACAGCAGAAGCAGATGCTCTTCCTTCCCTGGCTACATTTCTGGGTGCCTGGAGATGTTGGGGTACCATCCGGAGACATGCCAGTACAGACAGGCAGACAGGCAGACAGCAGGAACTAGTAAGGTGGGTGGACGGGTAGAGCTACAAGAGTAGCTGATGATAATAAATCCATACTTCAGGTTTTTTTCCAGGTGGGGTAAGGAAGCCAGCAGCTTTGGAAAACACATTTTGTGGGCCCATCAAAGCCCTGAACATCGGAAAGAAAAATTACTTTGGCATTCTAGAAACATTAAAGTGCATGCTATAAAAAAGAAAAGACAGCATTATGACACAGTCCACTAAAAAGCTTTATAGAAGTCTCACAACAGGAAGCGCCTTTGTTGTCGGCACGCATAGACACATGGGAGGCAGGTTTCAGGAAATGAGAATCGGTCCCTCAATTATTTGGGAGTTTTCTTGTGTTCTTGTTATTTGCTTATTAGTGGTAGCAAGAACCCCAAACTGCCCAAGCTAGAAAGACATTCTACCTCTGAGTCAAACCAGCCCACCAACCTTGGCCTCCATTAGAGACAAAATGTCCATAGAAAGTCCCCTCTGGGAAGTCCAAGGAGATTTCTACACATGTTCCAAATGTATCAATTTCATAGAAAATGGAGGGCATAACATTTCAAATATGTAAGTAAAAATATATAGGCAGCTTTCTGATGTCTAAGCAAATCAGCTTGGGCACAGCATCCGGAAGTCCATCCCTTTAATAAAGAGGGAGGATCCCTTTAATAAAGGATGTTTCCATCTTCCTCTCAGGGCCGCTGGCTCCTCCAGCAACATGTTCCAGTGAGTGAATGCCGTCAGATTTTCCAAAATATCTTCTTCTTATAGAGAACGTAGGCAATGAGCACCCAGAGAGCAGTGGCCACTATGTTCTGAATGAGATGTTCTTTGTGTGACTGGTCATCCTGCAGCTTCCACCGGAAAGGGAAGTAGTTCTCAAACACCTCGTGACCAACATACACCAGAATAGAATTCATCCCTTCGAGAGATCAGAACATGGTTTTTCCAGATCAATCATACAATTCTTGAGACGAGTTCAATAAAAAACATAAACCCGCCCTGGCATTATCACTTACTGCCCCAAATGAGTGACGCACAGCTTAGACAGTGAAGTGAGATGTGTATTTCTAAACTCTTAGGATTCAGGAGCATCGAGCCGGCTCAGCAGGGAAAGGCATTTGCCGCCAAGCCTGATGACTCCGTTCTATCCTAGGAACCCTCATGGTGCAGAGAACCAACTCCTGTACACGTGTACACACACACACACACACACACACACACACACACACACACACACACACACACACGGATAAAAAGGACAATCCTATCTCTTATTAAAATCAGTACGTCCTGGGTCGTATCCAGTACTGTGCCATTTTATACTGCCTCAAAATAAGCGGAGTTTATTTACTGATGCTAGAAACCGAATGTGTAAAAATGGGGTGGTGCTTTGGAACAGGCCAGTGACCTCCTGCGAGCTGGGCCAGCACAGCCCCTGCCGGCTTCTTCTTAGCTTGCTTCCTGAAATGTGTCCCCAGGACAGAGCCTTCAGCTCTGAGGCAGCTCAGCGGCTCTCTGAGCCAGTCTGCCTGGTCTCTCCCGCCCACTATGAACGGGTCCCAGCCGACTCACCGGGATAGAAGAAGGGGGTTCCCGTCCACAGCCCCTTCACATCCACAGCTGGGTAGAGGACGAGCAGGATGAAGAAGGCAAAGCAGCTCAGCGCGGTGACATAGGAAATGGACCTACAGGGAGATGAGTGAGGGAAGGTCACCGCACCCTGAGAACACCTGCTTTCAATGTGACAGATACCCGGGACGCCATAGCCCCCACCCTGCTTACCAGAGATTTTTGTTTATTGGAATAAAGCCTTCATTTGCAGACACTTTTGTCAAGGCAACAGAAATAAGCCCCTGTGAAGAAAAGAAGATGTTAAAGATGTGTACTACAACCTCGAAACAGTCCACTGAAGAGTTAAAAAAAAGATGAATCACTTACCTGCTAGTGAGGATGGAAAATCACACCTTTTACTTTGCTCTTTTAACTGGAAACCTAGTGTAAGATGTGTAACTAAACTATTATGCAAAACCATTTCTGATGGTCTCCGAGTCAGAGAAGGTAAGTGAGGAATCACACCGACCTAAGAGAATGTGACTCCGCAAGGCTGGGGAAAGGAACAGCCTGTTGGCGGCGTACATTGTGTTCTTAACTGGGATGCTCCTGCTCTGAAAAACCATCACATGTGTGCCTGCTTATTTCCACTTTTATTCTCTCTCTCTCTCTCTCTCTCTCTCTCTCTCTCTCTCTCTCT